TTTCAAATTTTTTTGTTGATTTTCTAAAAGTTTTTTTTTTTAATCCGATACCAGAGTCGCTTGCCAGTGAGTTCAGTGACGCATTTCAAGCACTCCAGAGCTGCTCTAGGGCGCCCCGGGCTATTTATAGGCGTTCCAGTGTATCAGAGTTTCGCACAACTAAACTTTTTTTTTTCGGGATAAAAAATAGCTAAATTCGATTGACCGGATTAGATTGATCTGGTTCAATTTAAGTGAACCACACTGTGTTCGATTGAGGTTGGATCAGTGCACATTCATCAACAAAAAAATGATCCAGATCAGAAGAAGCTCACTTAAATTGAACCCAAATCGATCTAATCTAGGTCAATCGAATTCGGCTTAACTAGAGATACGTGGCATTAAATTCAGGAACGGTCCAGCCGTTTTCGAATTCAAAAAATAAGTTACGTCGGTTGAATGCGCAAGCCTAAATAAATAAAATGTGGCAACGTTGTTGCACGTTGTCAAAAAAAATTTGGTTTATGTTGTTATCTAATGTGAATGAGTTTGTTTATAATTAAATTAATGATTAATTCAAAATAAATTTATTTTTCAGTGGTGAAGGAGCGCATAAGGCGCAAACAAAGAAACATTGATTTTTATATATATAGATTCAAATCTGAAAAAATATTTCCCGAGCAACTTTTCATGCAGAATACGAAAATGATAAAAGTTTTTATACAGGGTGTTCCGTTTACGAGTAACTAATATAAAATTAAAAGTTTCTCGTGAAGCACCCTGTATAATTTTACATATTTGAGAAGAGTTTTTGGCCGCGAGCGACGAAGGAGCGAGTGCATGAACGAACGAGTGCGAGAATAGCCTTCTGCAACTTGAGTTTTATACTATTTTCTCGATTTTGGATTTTATTTTTCATTTTTTTAAATATTTTTGTGGTCGCTGTTAGTTGGGGATTTTTTTTTGCAAAATATGTCACTTGGTAACACTTACCTACCAACCAACTGACAGGTGGATTCTATTATTTTAGAAGGTTTGACAATTTGATTGTACCAATAGGTAAACTAAATGTCACTTGAAATGGATGAAGAATGAGCTTAATTCTTCAACGATTTTGCGTGCGAGAATAATGATATTCTCACATCAAAATCGAGAAAATCACCTTCTCAACGATATAGCAGACATTATATTTTGCCCTGAAGGTTATGGAAATATTTACGTTTTTACGCTGCGCATCAAATCGGTATAAATTAATTTTGTTTTAGGTAGATACTCTAATACGTTTTAGAATTGCATAAAAATTAGCTTTTTATCGCATACTCGCTCAACTTGACTTGATTCCCTTCGATTTTTTTTTTGGGGGAAAAATCAAAGATCTCAAATATAAGGAAGACATAACCACCAGAGAGTTACTAGAAGCTGCATTGCGGAGAGCTTTAACGCCTCCAGAACTCATAAATGCCGCTAACAGTGTTAAAAGACGATGTCGGTTGTGTTTGGGTGAAAACGGTAGGCAGTTCGAACATTTACTTTTGGTTAATAGTTTATATTTATTAGTTTATCGTGTTTTAATAATTGTTCTTTTGTATTCCTTTTATCAAACTTTTATATTATTATTACATTATTATCAATGTTATTAACTAAATTATTGTTGAATTGATTTTTGTGTTTTTTTTTCCTAGACTTTAACTTCAATACAACCTGATACATAGGTACTTATACTATCTGTCGACCGCTACTTATTTTTTCAGCAAGTTAAGTGAACTATAAACTATATTATGCGAGTATGCGATAAAAAGGTAATTTTTATGCAATTTTAAAACATATTAGAGTATGTACCAAAAACAACTTAATTTATACCGATTTGATGCGCAGCGTCATTTCGCAGAACCATAAAAACGAACATATTTCCATAACCCTCAACGCAAAATATAATGTCTATATCGTTGAGAAGGTAATTTTAAGCTCTTCTCAAATATGTTAAATTATACAGGGTGTTTCATAAGAAAATTTTAATTTTATATTAGTTACTCGTATACGAAACACCCTGTATAAAAACTTTTATCATTTTCATATTCTGCATGAAAAGTTGCTTTGGAAACGTTTTTTTTAGATTTAAATTATCTTTGAAAATAAAAAAGTTACGTAGCATTGTTTAAATTGCAGAGTTTTAACAAACGCCCTCTAGCGGCCAAACGGTTGCAGATAGCCAATTTTCGTTTGAGCCAGTGAGTTTTTGAGGGGCTGAAAATTTTCTATCTCTTCAAATGAGGTGTTTTCTCATAAGAAAACAACTTGTTTGGCCCACCCTGTACAGGTTCCCAGGAAAAACAGTCCACCCTGAAAATGATTGAAAATTAATTTTCTAGCGGAAAATGGCCAGAAACGTCAAATTTAATATTAAGGGGGCATGTTATGACATATACCTGCGTTTCTCTTCCTTTATCTCCCTACCCTCCAATACCACCCCATGATTCTTTTTAAGAGGGGAGTGGCGTTAACTGATACCTTGATTAAAAGGTAATTTTATTCTCTATACATGACCCTGTTTTTGTTTTTTATTTTTATCGGCCCTTTCTTGAAAATTATGAATGATCGTGTCTGAATATCAATTCAGATCATTAATTGTATTATTAAAGAAGATAAAAAGTTACAAATATTTCATTAAATGTTGGAAAAAGATCGGGAGATCTAGTGGGCTATCCTACCTCTCCGGCCAACCCATCGTCTAGGAAATTCTTCATTCAAAAGCTGACAAATGGGAGCAGCGTAATGTAATGTAGAGGTGCCTCATCTTGCTGAAACATCAATTCATTTTCTAGAATGTTCTTCCTTTCCAAGAATGTCTTGTTCAAGTAATTCAGTTTGTTGCAGGCCTGCTAGATCTCCCGATCTTACGCCTTTGGATTTTTTCTTATGGGGACATCTAAAAACCAATTGTATTTCTGTATGGGTCAATGAAGAACATATTCAACATTTAATAAAATAATCGTAAACTATTTATTTTCTTTAATAAAATTAATATTCAGACTCGTTCATCCATATTTCTTAAAAACGAAACGATAGAAATAAAAAACAAAAACAGGGTCATGTAGAGAATAAAATTACATTTTAATCAAGGTACCACTTAACCTCTCTTCCCATCCAAAAAAATACATGGGGTGACTCTGGTAGGTAGGGGGATGAAGGGAGAGAAACGCACGTAGTGTCCAGCCGTTTTCGGCAAGAAACTTTATTCTCAAAGATTTTCAGGGTGGACTGTTTTCCCTGGGACACCCTGTATATTTCAACATAATTCCACATCATGCAATAAATCTAACCAATAAATGAGAAACTGATACAAAGTTCAAGTTTTTTCGAATGTTTTACCAGAAATGTAGGTATTTCCGTATTCCTAATCTTTAAAATAAGTAATTTCTATGCTCGTTTATAAACACTTGCGAACGTCTTCTAGGCTGTTGTGTGTTCGAATATATGGGTATTTTATCGCCACTATTTTTCATTTTGTATGTTTTTTTTTTATGTTTGGAGAATGTTCCTGAACAAATCTTGATCAAAGTTTCTTTCAAGTGCTACCTACATAAGAACTGTTGTAATATCACGGACATTTATTGAGTTCGAAATCATAACCGGAGTAAAGGGAGTATGCGTGCCAACGTGCCAATTTTGGTTTCTTTAGGAACCGTACTTCACCTTCTCCAATAAGACCTTGTCTAGTTGTTCAAGGTTTGTTTGGGCTAATTTGGGATAGAAAACTTCGAGCCAAAGTTTCCAAGACCAAGATACTCACAGCAACTGGTTGTGAACTTCAATATGCTGATGATAACGCTGTCCTCGCAAACACAGAGGAAGACGTACAAAGTCCTGTTAATGCATTCACGCGAGCAAAGGAGGAAACCATTAGTCTAGAACTCAATACGTATAAATTATTAATCTCATACCATCTTGCTCCAAATACCTATGATCACGTCCATTGATGGAGCACCTCTAGAAAATGTAAAATACCTTGATAATCATCTTTCCGAAAATGCAAAAATTGACGCAGAATTTGGACGTCTTTTGGAGGGTATTTGATAACTACGACATAGGTGCCATCATCATTCCAACACTTTTTTACGGGTGTGAAACCTGGACCAAATTGGCGAGACCTTCATGAGCAAATTATGTATTACCAACTGAAGCAGAGCCATCGCAAAAGGAAGGCAATTTAAAAGATACAAAAATGCCCTCAAATCAAACATATGGATTATGGAGAGACTTTAGCTGCGGAGGACAAACATAATCATAGGAAAGAACTAAACTTCTGATGAGAACTGGTCCACAAAACAAGAACAACCATCTATCAGCTACCGCTTGATGGTTGTGCAATAAATGTGGAAAGAGCTGTGGGTCCATTGGCTAAATGTTTATTAAAAATGTATCTATTAATTTCTCAATAGGTGTTTGAAATAAGTAAAATTTTTCAGTAACCAAGAATTATTTGTTTTGTTATGAGTCTTTTTAGGTCACTTCCTACGTTTTGCAACTTTACGAAAAATATATCTAATTAACCAATTTCCATTTTTTTTTTGCTATGACAAAACCGTTTATAACTTATTGTTCCGGGGTTTTGTAATAATTGGATTAGGTAATTCATTCTATTCCTACACGATGGAAGTTTGAGGCAAAGTTGTTATCCTCTATTAGTAAAATGTCAAATAATAATGTTTTATGTAAGAACCCGACGATCTTTTCTAAAATTGAATATTAACAGTTTTTGGATGAAGAATTTAACAATTTTCTATAATTTATTTATAATTAATATGTGTTCCAAATCATAATGTTACATCAGTTCTATAAAGCGACATTTGGCAAAACAAAAAAAAAGAAATTCAGGCTTCCTGGTATAGAACAACCAGAGACGCTAACTTGTTATTTCCCAAATGAGTGTAAATTTAAAATTCTGAAAAGTCTAGTTCAGCCGAAAAATACTTGAATCTGCTAAAAATAAAAAAATTAGTCATAAATATCGTTTCTTCTAGTTCCCGAATACGAATTAGTCCCAATCCATCACGTCCAGAAACGCAGCATAGCCTCACCAGCCTCAAAAGGAGGCAACACTCTCAACCATGGACCAATAGAAAAACATCCCTATTCCAAATCGAAAGCATGGACTCTAAATGCTAATGAAGGTATTAGGAATTTACGATTACAAGCATTTGGCGAACCATTTCATTTGAGTCTGGCACCCACGGAGGGACTGTTTAACAAGGGTAAACTGAAGGTGTTTACTGTGGAACCTAATGCGACTGCACAACATGGTGTGGAGTATGTGGAAGATCCTGAGGTAAGCTTTTATTTTTATTTGATTTAATTTCACGTAGAAAAGGTTTTAGAAGTTGTGGTTTCAGTACCCGCTTCAATTATGGTATTTCATCGAAATACCAGAGTGCCTACGATTTTTTTTTTAATTTGACGATCAAAATATGTTTACGCATTTTGGTTGAACAAAAACTACACCGTTCGACAGTTAGACACAAGTGCTTCGATTATACAGTTTTGAAAATAGCACCTTATGCTCATAAAAATGATATATGAATAAAAAATAACCAATTACATAAGATATGTGATCGTTAAATTCTCTTTAGGCATAAAGTTCGTGGGCTCACGATATCGATGCTACGGTTTTTCTCTTTCAATTAGGAAATATTATGTTATGATGAGCCTGAGATGGATTAGAAAGTGAATTTGTGGCCCCAAAATGCTGAAATGTTAATGCGTTTTTAGGTACCTATTCGCCTCTCATCTGACATAGTGCACTTATCGATTCGTGCTGCTGATGGCTGTCCGTTTTGAGATAACAAATAATTAATGTGGCAACGGCGATTGAGTAATTTTTGATTTATTACTATGTTTTAACAGACCGTGTGAATTGATTAAGTTTAATTATTGATTTTTGGCATTTTTGGATAATTAGGCAATTGATTACATTTGTCACTGCTACGCTAACCTATTTCGTTCACTATTCATATTTTTGGTGGCGGATCTTACAAATTCGAGTTTTAGCCATTGCATGGCAACACTGATGTCGGTATTTTGTTTTAGTTCAGAAATAGGTTTTTCGAGGAGCTATTATCGAAAAGTTTCATAGGATAATTTATCGATTCTGAAATTTGCGAATCCGTAATTTGCGAATAACTATGAATTCGTAGCGGAATCTTGCAATTTGTAATGTAGGAGATAATGTTTTTTTTAGAGTATCTTTAACTTTAAAAATCAAACACACAGTTTATCAAGAGGTTCCCACAAGACAAGATAATATGATGGAACACATAAGAAATGCTTAGAGCTGTCAGTAAAGAAACTGTAACTTGGTGCCATGAAAGCTTTTTACAGCGAATTAACAAGTGTGTTGAAGTTGGCGGTGGTCATTTTGATCAATTGTTATAGTTTTTGAGGTATTTTTGGTAACCTTTCTCTACTTTTCGATTTTGTGAGGAGGAAAAAAAAATTATTCGTTCTTTTTTATCAGCTTAAATTGAAACCGGAACAAAAAATGCTTCAGGTAAAAGTTACTTGTTTTTTTTCTGTAGAATAAGATTCTGTAATAAAAAAATATGTTTCCATTGAAAAAAAAAAGAGTTTACCTTGAAATAACCTTGAAAACGTTGTCAAAGTCAAAAATCAGTACCGCCATTTTATTTCCCCTATGATACCATGTAACTTTTATTTGATTTTTTTTTTTCAAAAACGCAACGTTTTCGAGATATTATACTGTCTCAAGTTAAATGGACCACCCTGTATAGGCATGCTGACTCTAGTTGTCCTAACATAATGCTATTTGACCATGTCCGTCATGTTTTTTATCAAATAAACAATGGATTGAGAGATTTTCAGCTGTCATGAAACTCTTTCATCGCGATTAATTTTTTACACATTCAAAGGTGCGTGGGCGTAGCTTGTCCCGCTACCTCACTTGCTGACTCGAGTATAGTTATATACATCACAAATACAAGCTTATATTACATTTTCAGCTTTCATGAAACTCTTGCACTTTTTTGGCGCTGGCTCTCGGACTATTAAGGGCACACATGTGAAATATAATGAGCGAAGCGTGCCAGCGTGCCTTAAAAATACTTTTAAAACAAATATCATACAGAATTTTTGGAAGTTGACATTTTTGTCAATAAAACTAAACAACAATTGTAAAAAGTCAGCACTTGGAGCGATTCAAAGAACCTGCAACCTCACTATCCAAAGAAAAACGGTCTAACCACTGCGCTATTTGATCCTTACAGAAATAGTGGCAGCAATCAACGGTGGCAGTAATTGCTTAATACGTTTGTAACGTGAAGATCAAGTCACCTGATAATAATTTCCTAAATTCCAAGCTCCGAGCTTCATTTTCACCAGTAATAATAGTAAAAACCGAGGTAAAAACTAAAAACACCATTCATCAAAGACTGAAGGTAAAACAGAGCATGAAGATAACCTAAACTCCTTATGTGGAAATGCCGGGTGCCCGGGATTACTTTTCTAATGTAATAAATCCCGGCAGCCGGGACCTGAAAATTAGTATTAAAATCCCGGCTGCCGGGATTTCAAATTAAAATGTTAAAAATCCCGATTGTCGGGATTTTGATTGTAATTTGCAGATCCCGGCTGCCGGGACCTGATCCACTGCCTTTATAAAAAGAAGATCCATTGGAAAAGGATCGGCATACCGTGTACGTGGGATCTAGGGGTCGGCCGGCGTTCGGTCGTAAGTGTGTCATAAAATTCTCCATTTCTTGAATGATAGTATAATGTATGCCCTTTCGAAATTGGACAATTTCTGTCATAAAATGCACAATTAAATACCGAAGAGCATACGTTATACTTAGCGTTTAAAAAAAAACCGTTTTTTTTTTGAAATTCGGAAAAAAACCAGGAAAAAAAAATTGTTTTTTTTCCGAAAAAAACCGATCAATTTGGAAAAATTAAATTTTTTTAATTTCAATATATGTACCTATTTAGTATTGTTGGGTAACATGGCTATTTAACGCTGTGTACAACAGAAACAAAACAGTCTAATATTCTTTTTACTATTATTGGCTTTGACAAGTCCAAACTAGGCTCCAAATCCTAATGAAGATTCTTCTGATTCTGAAGTAGAAAGTTTTGAATGTTCTGATTTTTTCCATATTTTGGTTTTTTTCAACACTCTCAGAAAAAAACAGGAAAAGAACCAGATTTTTTCGGAAAAGAAAAACGATTTTTTTCCGAGCTGTTAAAACACTAGTTATACTATCAATGCAAGACTCGTTTTTTTAGCAAAAAACAATTAACTTCTTCAGCGCAAGTCCCGCGGTCACCTACCAGTTTTACTGGTGCGTTGTCGAGCATATGCATAATTACCAAAATCTCAGATAGAATACGTTATCCTATCGTCGTTGCACTTTATTGCAGTGGGCCTACGGTCTAATAGATGCAATTCAAATCATTCCACAAATATGCAACACAAATGTAAAACAACGATAATGCAATTCGCTGGTGATTTCTTCTTTTTGGAAACATGATCCTGATGAGCTTTGGTTTTTCTGCATTCGAAGGAAATTTTGATTCGGATAAAATTGCAAAAGGCGTCAAATTTAGAAACAAAAATCCATTTAATGGGGACTTGAAGATCTGAACCCAGTTGATTATTTCGTTCCATGCTACTTTTTGCATGTATCGAAGTTTGTGTAGGAAGTTGGTGGTAGTAATGAAACACAGATAATGAAAAAGAACTTATAACTATTATAGTTAATGAAATAACGAGCAAAAGTTAGACATACAGGCACTTCTTTGGCAGACTACTGACAACTAACTGACTTTTGAAATTTCAAGTCATTCTTCAAGAAAATGTCATAGTGTTGCCAAGAACAAATTGCAGACTGATTGTCTTCATAAATGATAACTTTCAACTCTTTAATTAATTCTAACTCTCACGAAAATCTAAGAATAAATATTTAAACCGTATCTTGCTACGATGGTCCATTTTCGAGTTAGGGCGGTTTAAAGTTACAACTAGGTATTTGTGACGTCACACCGGATTATCAGGGACAGTATTAACACGTGTAAGAATATTCCAAAACAAAAGACAATTACCTCACTAGAGCTACAGTGGCTAAATAAACCTTAACATACAGTGGCGACAATAGAGGTCCCACTGCCATTTTGTGCCCAACCTCTTGTTACTTTTAAATATAAATATATAGGATTTAATTGGACATCCATCATAAAAAAATGGAAACAACGTATTTAATTACTATTATTATGTACATCAAATACGTTGTTTTCAATTTTTTACGATGGATGTTCACCTAAATCCTATATGTATATTCATATTTAAAATTAACAAGTGGTTGGGCAAAAAATAGCGGCGTTTTCCATGAATATATAGGATTTTAAAGAACCAATCAAAAATGAGATAGCAATTGTCGCCACTGTGGTAGGTAATAGTCACTGTAACTAGAGCGAATTTCAACCACTCAAAGTATAGGGTATGGTTCACTGACGAACAGAAGACTGCGATTTCGGCGGTTCTGACGTCTCAAGTTCCTGCATAATTTATCTTCACAAGGCATTTTCTCAGAGACTATTTTGAATATAGGACTGCGGTTTTCACGAGGGATTTTAGATTTTTTTCCTGATTTAAGTAGCTCAAATCGTTTTTTGGGGTCACATCCCCTTTAAGGCTGAATGATTTCTGCCTCAGTGGTGGAAATGGCGACAGTACCTTGTTGCTTTCAGTTCCATGACACAATATTGCCATACAGTGAGGACATAAAGTCCGTCGCCCCCCCTCTAACTTTTGAACCGCTCGGTATATTACAACGAAATTTGGGATGATGATATGTGAGCAAATTCTCCATTTTTTAAAAAACAAATGACCGCTTCAGCTGTCAAAATGACAGCTGGGCGCAGTTTTGAAACGTTTTCTTAAATAGAAGACGGTGTCTCTCTCACTGCTTCCATTATTGTTTGAAACTCTCTCTCGGCCCCACCATTTTGCTGAGGAGTGTATGGTACAGTTAATTCATGCTTTATACCATTACTTTGACATAACTTATCTATGGAAGAGTTTACAAACTTTGTACCAGGGTGAACTATTATAAATGTCACCCCTCCTAACTTTTTGATTTGACGTTTTCGACAGAAATGTCAAATACAAAAGTTTCAAGAAATTGTCAAAAGTTTTTAACTATGTCAGTATTACGCATACAGGGTGAGTCAAAAAAGTCCCCTTCAACCTGATTTTAACTATATACGGTTTGATATGTTTATCTCTCGGTTTATCTTCAATAGTTATAGGGAAAAAGCAAA